CCAGAGCTCAGTCGTCTCGGAGGAGCGCTAGGAGGATGAGTGTAGAGAGGAACCACTGAACCACTGTATCATGTCGTAGCTTCAATATAACGAGATAGCCTTAACTTTCTGACACAATCATTGTCCTGACTAGAACCCGAGGAGTTCACTCCTAAAACAGTAGGCAACATATCGCCTGCAGTGCATACGTGTACTGCGGGATGGCCTATCCGCAATGAGTGGCGACGTAGTTGGGGGGTCTGCCGATAGATGGCGAGTGATAGTGGTGTGTGACTGACTTCCGACTGGACGATGGACTGGACTTGAACAATATAGTTCTGAAGATTATTATAAAGAGGTCACTACACTACAATACCTCCAAATAATTGTTTTTATTTTTAAGTTTATGAAAACATTAATGCCCAACAGGCTAACAAGACAGTGGCACATGTTTTCACACAAGACAAAGGCCTAAGTCGAACAGTAATTATTTGGGCATATATCAGTTATACCAGAACATAAGAAGTATTGACTCAATTAAACTAGGGAAAAAAAGATGGGTTCATTGATTGCTAAATAATGAGAATTGATTTGAAAAATGCTGACCACCGATAAAAGCACACATACAAGCACACCATGTAAGAGTGAAAGCTATTCAGTGTAATAATACCATTTACAGCAGTGGATTTTACAGTTTTACTATGATTAAACGACGCGTGATAGAAGTGTGTGCAGATGACTCAGATATTCAGAAAAGTGTCAAGTTTGGTCAAGTTCGAGAGGAAGAGATTACACAGAAGTCCTAGACCCCACATAAAATTACAAGCACACCACAAACATGCAAAACCCAAACGAAATGTCATTACTAACACCACATAAACATACTCCACTACGATGCGAGAAAAGCAAGGCAGGAATAAGAAGTCATCGTCAAGAGATAGTCCAGTCAGTAGAAATGTACAGAGATGAATGAAGGTGATTAAAAAGAAAACAGTTAAATGGTTCTTGTCATCTTGTTGATCCAGTTAAATGGTTCTTGTCCTCTTGTTGATCCAGTTGAATGGTTCTTGTCCTCTTGTTGATCCAGTTGAATGGCTTCCATCTGGTGGAACAGCAATGTAGAAATGCCATCTGGAACATGAATAGCAAATTACATGTTTCAGAAAGGAAAATAAATCTGTCGGTTTGTACTCTTATCCCACAAAATTCCGATACTAGAATAGATAAACTTCAAATAACTTTTCATAGGTGGACCATAATAAACATTGCTGGGTTTTAAGGCAAATTAAAACATGACGCAAGTCTGAAACAATCTCCCCTCACAATCTGTTTCTGGTCCGAACTATATTTTCAGTGTTCAAAAATATTGAAAAGGTACAACAGAAATGAGGTTTTAAGCAATGAAAAATGTTTGAAACCCCTTAAACACATCCCAGACCACCAGTAGCAGAGAATCGTCACAGATCACCACATTGACATCAATTATTTGTCAATTCTCTGCTGCTGGGGCAATGAAATGTACTGAAGTGAAGCTATTCGTTACAATTAAAAACGAAAAGAAATAGGCCTATGTGAATGTAAGGGAAACATGGTTGGGCAACTGTTGCTAAGATTAACAAACTCACCTGCTCTTGTGGCCCTCGCTCGCACCAGTTCTGCTTCTCATCCTTGTGATAGTCACCTCCATACACGGGCTGCGCACCTGTAGGAGGACAAGCAAGCTCACTGTAACAACTTGCAACTCCTATCAAAATACTTTTCCTCTGCCGGCAAAACATTTAGAAGAGAATCAATCATTGGCATGTGAGCATGTTCAAGAGATCTCTGCCACTGCAAAGGATACGTTAGTATTGCAAACTATTTTCTTCGCAGCTTCCAAAAAATTATGAAACATTGTAATACGAACCAATTATCTGCACGCTTGCCAGCAGTTTCTTTGCAATACGAACTGGTTCTTTACAATAATACAAAGCTCAAAAATCTTTTACAACCTTGCAAAGAATACAATTTGCAAAAATTTTACAGTGTGAGCCTAGGAAAAACTTACTGGTTTCTCTCCCTTTCTCCGGTTGTTCGGGATGACATTGAAGGCAGCAGCGTTCATAGTAGGCTAAAATGTCGGGTACCGGGGGCGGAGCGGGTCGTAGAGTCTTGGTGTCTTCGCCGGCTGCGGGCGGGGGAGGGGCGGGGCGAGGCGGGGTCAGGCGGGGCGCGGCGGCTGGGCTAGGACCTGCAACAGAAGCGGGTGTCAAGGGAGCGGCTCAATAGATCATTATACATCCCGGGAATAATACTGCTAAAGCACACCAACCAACCTTCTCATTCTCGGCGGTAGCAATAATCTGCTTCCCCCGCGGAGTGTCGGCGACGAGGACGGCGAGGGAGGGCTGGGGTGGTGTATCCGGAGGTCCTGGAGGTCCTGGAGGCCTTCGCCGACGGCGGAGACTAGCTGACGAGGCCGGCACTGGAACGGGCCTGGAACAAGAAAGGCGATTGGAGAAACGAACATCTGGTTACAGAGCAAACCACATTCTCTTCTCCCGCAGCTGAAACGGTGGCTCGCAGCGCACGTCCCGGGGCAGGCTGACTGTCCACGAACCAGTTATTTGCAAGCTTGCAAACAATTTCTTGCAATTCGAATTCTTCGCAATACAAAGCTATAATTTGCAAGCATTTTAAAGTGAGCCTGAGCACAACGTACCGGTAGTCCTTCCTTTCTCGGTTCAAGTGTCGGGCGTAGGGGCAGAGCGGATCCTGGAAGTCCTGAGCTCATTGTGTCCTGGCCAGCTGCGGGAGCTTCCTGCTGGCCAGGGCGGAACTGCGGCAGTGTTGCGGGGACGTCCCAGGCAGGCCGACCGTCCACGGCGGGGGCGGGCCGAGGTGGGGCGCGCAGCTGGCAGAGCGACGGCCAGGCACGACTCCCGAGAAGACTCTCTAAAAGGCACAAATGTACATTAAAATGATTCCAAAGTAACAGCGGAGCCGAAAGAAAGAAGAAGCCACTAATTATGACAGATCAGAACCCCACCTGCTTGTAGGCGGTCAAGAAGGAGCGGGTGACGCACTGCTTGATGTCCCAGGGCGCGTCCCAGTCGAACACAGTAGTGCAGCGCAGCAACAAGGCGGCCGAGGTCCTTCCTCAGGGGCCGAGTCATGAGTCGCGGCGGGGCTATCACCTGCAACAGAAGTCAAGGGAGCAGTTCAATAAATTATTACATATCCTGGGAATAATTAATCCCAAAGGACATCAACCAACCTCCCTGTTCTTGGCTGTTTGCCCCCGCGGAGTGCCAGCACAAGTAGGGCGCGGCCCAGGACGGCGACGAGGACGGCGAGCGAGGGCTGGTGGTGTAGCTGGAGGTCCTGGAGGTCCTGGAGGTTTTGAAGGCCTTCGCCGACCGCGGAGACTAGCTGACGAGGCCGGAACTGGAACGCGCCTGGAACTGGAAAAGCAATTAGAGAAACGAACATCTGGTTACGCAAACCACAGTCACTTCTCCCGCAGCTGAAACGGTGGCTCGCGGCGCACGACCCGGGGCAGGCTGACTGTCCACGGCGAGGCGGGCGGCTGCAGCGGACCTTTCCACGGAGACTCTGCAACATGATCACTCGAAATTAATAGGCAACCCCCAAAACATGAACAAGAAGCCACTAAAGATGAAGTCCGCCCTCCACCTGCTTGTAGGCGACCAAGGAGGCGCCGGCGAGGCCGTGGTGAGGCACTGCTCGGGGTCCCAGAGGAGCGTCCGAGTCAAGCAGCTTGGTGCAGCATCAGGACGGCCGAGGTCTCGACGGCCAGGGCAGCGGCGGCATGGAAGAGGAACAGAACAAGTTGTTAGTGGTGCCTACGTGCGGTTGGAGTACGCCACCACTTTGCCCTCGTGGTCCGCCGGTCACAAAGTATTACACTCGCCCGCCAGCCGCGGCCGACGCGCTGCCCCGAGCGCTGCCACTCGCCAGCCCCGCGGGGGGGAGGGGGGCCTACGGGGGAGACCCGCGGGTGCAGCGAGGGCAGGCCCAGCGTGGCGCGCCAGCCAACGGCCGAGGGGCGGCGTCAGGGAACGACCGGGGCCACTGCAAGCGGGCCAAATGTACAACAAGGAAGGCTTGAGGGACGTACCTGTGGTCTGCCGACCACGGCCACGGCAGCCAGAAGGTCCAGTTGTCGGCTGGTGAGCGGAGTCGCGGCGTGGCGCGGCGCGGCGGCTGGGTCCTGCAACAGAGGCGGGCGGTCAGAGAGCAGGTCATAAATGATCACATGGACCGGGACTTCTCGGTTCCGAAGTACACAAACATACCTTCTCAGCGGAAAGAATCTGTTTGACCCCGCGTAGTGCCAGCTGGAGCATGGCGGGGATGCGCAGGCCGATCTCCGGAATCAGGTGACAGGGCGGAGTTGAGCAGAGCGGCGATGAGCTGGCTTGCGCTTAGTTAGAGGGGTGTTTGGGGTGCTAGGGAGTCCTGAGCTGTCGGGAACGTTTTTTTCCACATATACTTTGCATGGGTTTCTAAGGCGCTGAGTCTCAGGACCCCCTAGCACCCCCTAAACTACACGCAAGCCTGGGTGGGGTCGACGTTGAGCGGGCGGACGCTGAGCAGGAGTAGGGCGGTGGTGTTGAGCAGGGCGACGATGGTGAGCACGGCGGCGGTGAGCACGAGAAGGGCGGTGGTGTTGAGCAGGGCGGCGGTGAGCACGGCGACGGTGAGCACGGCGACGATGTTGAGAGGCGGCGATGAACTAGAGCAGGTCGATGATGAGCGTGGTGACAGTGATCAGGAGCAGGGCGGTGGTGTTGAGCAGGGCGACGATGGTGATCAGCGCGATAAACAGCGTCTTTTATTTCGTCCTCGCAGGCAGACCGATTGATACCCTGCCGACAACAACTACAATCAGGGGGGAACAAAAACAAACCAAAGCCAAACGCAACACAGTAAAAAGGGGCCGATTTGATCACTGACCTGAAATTTGATCTTCAAATCATTTGATCTCTTCCGCATAAAAAGCCAAAACGTCGGACAGAACATGAGCACCTTGCCCCGTAAGAAGAAGAAAAGAAAATGGTGGCGTAGCGTAGCGCGGTCTCACAACAAAGCAGAAAGCCACATCGTGCAATATCGTTTTTAGTCAAAGTAACATATTTCAAATTGATATGTACCTAGTACCGTGGGTACTGCAAACAAAAATTTATCAAATAACGTCCACAAAACTGTAGATGTGAGAATATTGGTATCAGGTTATGTTGCTTTGTTGTGAGACCGCACTACGCTACGCCACCATCTTCTTTCTGTTCTTCTTACGGGGCA